ATGTTGTAGTCTGTGAGACGCAGCTTCATCATGTGAACTGTCTTTTAGCTTTGAATAATTTATATTTCTGTTTAAACCGTCTCTGAAGAAATAAACACCTCCTTTATTGTAGCTCACTTCTGTTTTATTCATAACATTATGTCTGTCCTCTCAGGGTCTTTAAAAAGAGCGTTTGTTTTGGAGCAATGGTTTATCAAACATTTATCAATAACTAGTAACTTATCAGCTGTGATGACAATCCACCAAGGCTGAGAAGAGACAAATATTTTACATCAGGTTAAGTTCATGGCTAGCTGAATAAAGACTTGTTGTTTATCTGTTTCAGGCTCAACTCTGGAGAAAAGACAATAAACCTGAGTGAAATTAGCCTGGTCCTTATCTTCCTACACAGCTCCGCTCAGTTCTAGTTTCCTTCTCTGCTCTCTGTTGATAATAAAGTCATAATATGAGATTAAAGTCTTAATATAATGAGAATAAAGTCATAATATAATGAGAATAAAGTCATAAAATTACTAAATTAAAGTCATAATATTATGAGAACAAAGTCGTAATTTTATGAGATTAAAGTCATAATATAATGAGAATAAAGTCATAATATAATGAGAATAAAGTCTTAATATTACGAGTATAACCTTCTTGTTATGTTCGTTTCTGAGGAACAGCAATATTGTTCCTGTGTCAGTTTGACCCAGGGAATGTTGAATCATGCAATAATGTCAGAAACCAAAAGAGATCCCCAAAAACATTGTTGTGTCTGATTACTGACTCCATTACTGACCATTTCAATCAGTATTTGCATGTTTATGTTTTTATAATTTTCACAGATAAAGGATCAATAGACATTTCATAAATTTTCCATAAAAAATGCACATTACATTTTTTCATATCCACTGAAAGAAACTTCAAACATAAAAACATGGTTATACGTGAAATTATTTTTTTTCTTTTACATTTTGATCTATGTAATGTAGATGGTTGCAAATATGCTAAATGAACCATTTTCATTTTATATGTTGATTATACTTGTTAAAACAAATAGAAAATGTTTCAAACTGAAAAAATACTTATAACTATTTTTAAAACATTTTTAAACTTTGACATGGGCCAATTTGACCTGCAACATAATAGGAGGGTTAAAATCATAATATTACGAGAATAAAGTCACAATATTCTAAATTTAAAGTCGTAATACTATACGGTTTACGCAAAAAAGCATGGAGTTATCACTGCATTACAATGAGGAACGTTGAGCAACTTGTCAAGTTGTTCTTTAGTATTGCTTAAAATAAATACATGTGCTTCTCAAAAAATTAGCATATTGTGATAAAGTTCATTATTTTCTGTAATGTACTGATCAACATTAAACTTTCATATATTTTAGATTCATTGCACACCAACTGAAGTAGTTCAAGCCTTTTCTTGTTTTAATATTGATGATTTTGGCAAAAATGTAAAAAAAAATCCCTATCTCAAAAAATTAGCATATTTCATCTGACCAAAGAAAGAAAAGTGTTTTTAATATAAAAAAGTCAACCTTCAGATAATTATGTTCAGTTATGCACTCAATACTTGGTGGGGAATCCTTTTGCAGAAATGACTGCTTCAATGTGTCGTGGCATGGAGGCTAGGCCTGTCACGATAACAAATTTTGCTGGGCGATTAATTGTCTCAAAATTTATTGCGATAAACGATAATATTGCCTGGTGACCGTTTTACAACTAATAATTATAAAAGCGTAATGTGTAAGTG